ACAAATTCAGTCCCATTAAACATTTTTTTAGCCTACATGACACCCATGTCTTGTTATTGTCTAAAAAGACGGGTTTAGTCTTTCTTGCCTAAAAAGACGGGTTTATGATGTTTAATACATTTGGCTGCTTTTAACCTTACCCTGGAGTTGGTTCACCCTCCTCCTATGAATATTGTATATAATTTTGGCACATCAGGGAGCCACTATCAGTATGCGGAGTATTTAAATCTCTTTTGAATGATCGTTTGCCCTGTTTACTTTCAATTTCACGATCACACTGTGTAAAGGGAGCACATCTTACATGATCAGATATTTGTCAGTGAGCTCAGGATCTGTTGAGCAGCAAATACTCCAGCATGGTCTTGTCAGTCATTTCTCCTTATTCTTGACCTGAGATCAGTCAAATCTGTCTCCGGCAGCTCTTCTTGGATGCAGGGTTGCCAAGTCCGCATTTTTTCCACAGAATTTGGCTACTTTTAAACTGTTGACATGAGTTGATTTTTCCAAGTGTGTTAATGGTTTGAAATATTGCATACTTTACATTTGACTAAAGTGAAATGCTTGTATTGAAACATTTTGCATTCTACATATAATAAAACTTTCATGGACTTTTACATTAACTGCTCCCTCCTGCTGGAATGACCTGCCCAACTCAATCCAAGCAGCTGATTCCTTAATCATTTTCAAGAAACAGCTGAAAACACATCTCTTTCATCTTCATTTGACCCTCTAACTCTAGCACTCTCTATTATAATGCTAATTCTAATTTTATCTGCTTGTTTTTTTTTATTAAATCAATTACCCTCTAACATTTGCACTCTCTATTCTATTTCTATTCTAACTACTTGTTTTATTTAAAAAGAAAAAAGGAGTCTTTAACACTAGCATTCTCTGTTCTTTCTTTCTACTTATTTTATTTTTATTTATTATAAATAATGACCTTCTAACACAAGCTTTATCTATTATTTTTCTGTTCTATTGACATTTAAAAATGACCCTCTAACACAAGCATTCCCTATTCTTTTTCTATTCAATTTACTTGTTTTGTGTTTATTTATTATAAAAACAAAACAAGCAAACAAACACAAAAACATACTTTTAGGTGAAACCCCGCCCCCCCCACACTGTCCTCTTTTTGAAAAACTAAAGTATGGTCACCGTACATAACGGGTTATTTTACGCTTGTTCATTTTTACAGGAATACTATCTTATTTTTACCTGCTACATGGGAAGGATGGATTTCCAGATTAATTTAAATCTTGCAATCATGTACACTATACAATCACTGTGTTTACACAATGCATCCTTTTTTTTTTTATTAATACAATTCTAAATGCAACACATATAGATAATCTGTATGCAAAACTGCAGCATTATATAATTTTTTATTAATTTATCTCTACAAAAAGTAGTTATTTGACATTTAAAGTAAGCATTCTCTGTTATCCCTTTTTCAATTAAATCTGAGCTAGTGTTGGATTGATGTTTGGCGAAGGAACATATTTAACATGCAAACCAATTAAATTAATTATTATTATAACATATTATTATAACAAATAAAATATTTTTTTCTTTTTCCCCCATCATGCGAAGTGACCAATGCTGATCTCGGGCCCTGTATGTTACACTGTGTAAAATAAAATGATTTACAGCACAGTAAAGACTTTGTAGATATAAAAGTTTTTTTCAATTTTTTCCACTCTCTGTTTGCTCCAGGTTCACTGCTGGGCAATTCAGGAGCGATTAAAAACAGACACGTCACTTTTCATTTTGCACCACTCACAAACTGGTCTGGAAAAACAGACAAGTGATACAAACAGTGAAACATAGTACTGCCTTTGTACTAAATATCAGCACTCTTGGTTTCATGTTGACTTTAAAAAAGTTAGTTTTATCTATTAGTTTTGTGTAAACAGTTTCAGCTCCCTAGAATGCATCTAACTTTGTGATTATATAAATGATAAAAGCAAAGTGGATGTAATGGGACATATGCTGCACACCGTGCCACTTTAGTGAAGTGCTGCTCTTATCTGAAATACAGAAACTGAGGAGCTGTAGATTGGCTCGGTGGGTAAATAGCTTAGAGCATTGCTTGCTTTTCTCAGGTCTGAATTCTCTGAAATAGTCATTAGTATTGTAATTGCTTACATACTTATATAGGCATTACCAGAGGTTAAAGCAAACAAATGAAATACCATTGATTCTCGCTCATGTTTGCTTGTAGCTAGATTAGATTGTTGATTCCCTGCCATATATGCATGCAGTGAGATGGTGCCCTTTTGAGAGAATATTTGTGGAAAAGAAAAATGTATTATATTTTCCACAATAATTTACCTTGCAAGCCATAATAAATAATATAGTCAAATCATGAATAAATTTAACATTCACCATCAGCTGCCTTCCATTTGATATCAGTAACACACACAGACTCACATGACTTCATTGCCACAGTTTAAATGAATATTTCACCCAAAAATAAATGCCATTTGTATAATTGTTTATTCACCCTCACATCATTACAAACCTATATGATTTCCTTTTTCCTTTTGGACACATGGTTCCACGATTAAAATTCTTAAACCAACTTATTAAATTCAAAATTGATCATTATAGATTCATTTATTCATGCACCTTTGAAAGCATTTATCCATCAATTATTTTACTTATTTAGTAGTGCTTATTTAATCATTTTTATTCAGGTATTGTTTTTGTGTTAAGGGCTCTCGTTCAGTTTCACGCATGCACATTTTTCAACATGCCTTGAAATGTAATGAAAAGACAGCACACCATATTACAACAAAACATATGGCCATACCATGGGATATAAAATATTCAGATTCTATTTGGGATTCTTTCATTTTCTACTGTTATTAAATATGATAATAATCTCAAATGAGGCCAAGTAGACCAGCAGAACATTGAACCTGTCATCCTTGAAAGATTCACACAATAGCATACCATTCAAGAGCCATAATAACTTGAATGAATATAGCAGTTGAAGAAAGCTTTAAAATAGTTTGGAAGAATATTTAACTGAAATCATCATACGTACAGTTACGTGCTATGCATGTTGAGTATTTATTATAAATTTGAAACTAGCAATCAGCCAGCTTGTAACAAAATAATAGAAGCTAATTTACATCAGCTATCATTTTAAGAATACTTAGTGGTAAGCATTATACTGTGCTGCTATAGATACAGCTATATAGCTGCTACCGATATCATAAATCCCTACAGATGTAATTGTGTGGCTCAGAAAACAAAATTCCTATTTAGCCTGATTGACATTGATATTTACTGACTAGAAACTGTTCATATTTACCTAAAAACATGTTTAAATCTCTATATAGCAGCAATTAATCCCTGGCACAAAACCATTTATTAATAAATAAAGTGATAAGGTAAATGAATAAGGATTCAGTGGCTTTACAACACCTTGGATTCCAGTCCAGTTTTGGTTATTTACATTTAAACATTATGTTTAATGATGGACCCTGGTAGAGTGACCATATTCACCCAGAGTGGCACTGTTCTCTAGATCTGCTCTGTCAGACATGCATTCAACCTCACTGCCCAGTCTGCCAGAGTCAGATTAACCATATGGGCATTTGGGCATGCGTTCAGGGGCACCATGTCGAGGGTGGGTACAAGTGCATCCGTGGGGACATAAATTGCCACAAAAATGCTTTCAAATATGTGCCGCAATGGCTGCTTGTCTCTTTTGGGTGATTTTAGGGTTCCTTCACTGTCAAAATTGCAACACATACTACACATTTCAGTCACACTTTATTTCAAGGACCAGTTCTAACTATTAACTAACTATTAATTATGATTTTTGCCTCAATAAACACCTAATTTGCTGTTTATTAATAGTTAGTAATGTAGTTGTTAAGTATGGGGTAGGATTAAGGGATCTAAAATATGGTCATGCAGAATAAGGCATTAATATGCCCTTTATAAGTACTAATAAACAGCCAGTGTGCTAGTAATATGCATGCTAATAAGCAACTAGTTAATGCTGAGAATTGGTCCCTAAAATAAAGTGTTACCTACATTTACCTACCTACTCATTTTGTATATAGCCATTTATTTATATTGTCCCCAACTACATAGTGACGCAAATAACCATATAAAAGGTAATTTGTCCTCACAGGCCTTGAGGGTTTAAATTCATGCATTCCAAACTGTGTTTCTCAATATCTTTAAATCACTGCAAAGCTTACTTATTTTCCCTTCTTGTCATGCCAAATTATTTGTAGTCTGCAATGCTTGAAAAAAGCCTGATGACAAAAGATGACTACTGAGGCCAATTTTTAAACAAACAAATTTTTAGCAAAATCTGTGGAGAAGTGCAGCTATTGCTTCAGAAACAAACCTTGACAAAGCTAATGCACTAAGAGAAAAATGCCGGCCTGGTTTTTACCACCTCATCTCCATATTTAGAAACCTTTTATGCCCGGCTAGGTTGTCTGCTGCTCCCAGACTGAATAATGTGTAGGAGTGGTAAATTGGCTTTCCAGTTAAAACCTTACTCACTAGGTATGTTCTTTTTGTGGTTAGGAAAGCTATACCAGTAATGACTGTTCAAATACAGAGCAATGCTGTATTCTTTAGTTCAAATGTGTCAGATATGAAATTGTACTGAGCAGATATTTGATTCCTATGAAACTGGGCAAAAGGGAGATGAAGAGTCATCATATCCCAAAATACTTTGAGGTCATGAATCTTTGTAAATGAACATATGTAGTAGACATCTTGATGTTATAATATCCCTAGGTTCAACAACCCAGAGTTAAGCTATCATTATAGCATATGTATGTTCAAAAACACATACAGTGCATAGAGTTTAAAGATATCGATGCATGTGTGGTTATGAGCATCTGTGTAGACTTGCTCTTTATTACTGCAATTTTAAAGAACACACTGCATTGCACTTAAAAAGCTATTTGTTTCTAAATTGTTAGGCAAATACTGACGTGTTCTTTAAATTCTCGTTTTAGGGATCCGAATCAGCCAGTTCCACAGGACACCAAATTCATCCACACGAAGCCTAACCGCTTCGAGGAAGTGGCTTGGTCTAAATACAACCCAAAAGACCAGCTTTATCTACACATTGGGCTGAAGCCAAGGGTGAGAGATCACTATCGTGCGACTAAGGTTGCCTTCTGGTTAGAGCTGGTACCTCATCTTCATAACATCAATGAACTCTTTCAATACGTCTCGACCACGACTAAGATACCTCCGCAGGATACTACGCCATTCCCGTACACTAAGAGACTGGGTAAAACATGGCCGTCCACGACACGTCATCCTGGTGTTCCACCCGCCAACACCAAACAAACTACAGACCAGCATAAAGGCAATGATTTGGGCGACGACTCAGCGGTGGTTATCGAGACAAAGCGAGATTACTCCACCGAACTCAGCGTGACCATCGCGGTGGGTGCTTCTCTCCTTTTCCTCAACATTCTGGCCTTTGCAGCACTCTACTACAAGAAGGATAAGCGCCGTCACGAATCCAACCGACGTGGGCCCAGCCCACAGCGGAACTCTGCACCAGCTAATGCAGTGGCTAACGCCAATGACATAGCACATTTGCAGAGCGAGGAGGTGATGTCGCTCCAGATGAAACAGCAGCAGATGGAACACGAGCACCATCATGAGTGCGATGCTCTGCCAGGTCACGATACGCTTCGTCTTACCTGCCCAGCCGATTACACACTTACTCTACGACGTTCGCCTGACGACATCCCGCTCATGACGCCAAGTACCATAACAATGATTCCTCACTCTCTGGCCGGAATGCAGCCCCTGCACAATTTCAACACGTTTGGAGGTAGTCAGAACAGTACCAACCTGCCCCATGGGCACTCCACCACCAGGGTATAGCTTTGTGCTGTGCACTAAAAGATACTTTTCAGAACTCTAGGACATGGTCTGCTAAGGCATTGGGGGTTAAGGTCCTTTGTTTGTCATGGCAAACTGTGCTGACTTTGTTCCACTCTGAGACTTATCTTGGTGGATGAGATGTTATTTTCCTATGAAGCCTTCTTGCAGAATATATCAAAGTCAAATATGACCTACTTGCGAAAAAAAAAAAGAATGTTACTAAAGTAATACTTTATTTGGAGACAAGCTTGGTAAGGGCAGGGGACTTTACACCAAAAGACAAGAACTCTCTCCAAAGGACTATTTTGCTTGTATAGACAACATATACACCAACAAAAGAGAGGTTAAAGGATCTTACGAAGCTTTGTATGTGCCATACCATATGTCATATACCAAGAGCAACAATGAGAGCAATGTTATTATACAATAACTATATTTCAGACAAACACATTAATATTATTTTCTGAGAGTGTTTTCACATACCCAACCTGTGGATTGAACTCAAAAATCCCAGCCTGAAATGTAATTATGACAACATTTGTAAAGGTGACAAAATGTAAATACTTGTGAGTCAAATACAAATATTAAAAGAATTACAAAAAGCTTTTATTGTTGTTTAGTTCAAAATATGACTATTATGAGCTTACGTTTTTGTTACGGTGTGTGTAAATATATCAATCATTATCTTTACTCTTTTTTTTTTCTTAAATCATATCTGTGCTAAACAGCATTTACACCTGAAAAATAAATCAAAGAGAAGACAGCATTCTTATTCCAAAGCCTCTCAATATCCATCTCAGTCATCTGAGTGTTATTTTGTCCTAATGTTTGACGAATATTGCATGTTTGATTGCTGCTTTACATTTGATAACCCAATATCGTGACCCCATACAGATGTTAAAAATGAAATATTGCTTCTAATTACATTACAGTGCTGGGTGAAGTTGCCCATTCAAGCTGGATGTAAATCAGGGCAACTTCTACCCACATCCAGTTTTACCTGCATAAATCTTTCTATTTTTAACTTTTTTTTTTTTTATTTATTTATTTTTTATCTGTATCATCACTGCCTGAGCTTCAGATGTGACCAGCATTGTATAATTAAAAATATCTATAAATAAATAACACAGGCAGTGGATTTGGGTATCTATATTAGTTGGATATGTTTGTAAAGAAGTATATGTTAGATATTTCTATTCGTAACATGCTAGCAATATGTAAAGTATTGTGCCAGGCTTGTGATATTTTGGGTTAAAACATAAGTGAATGAGTGTAAATACAAATAATTTTGATTACTATAAATAAATACAAACAAATAAAAAAATAACCCTGATATTGTTCAGTTCTGCATCCTATAGCAAAGATGTTGAAAGTGCAAGAAAGAATAATAAAAAAAAAATTTAATAAATGAGTTTATAAAAGTTCATGATTCATGTTAGCCCTTGGTTTGTTACCTGTCAGTACAACAAGGGTCCAATGTAGGGTTCTAAATAATAGTTTGTCTTATATTGTTTGCAGTTTTTGCCTTAAGTGATAGATGATATTTCTGGCTGGACACATGTATAAAAATTTTCTGCCGCATTTTTAATAAAATATCACAGTATTTTCTAAAACTGTGTCTTCAGATTTGTTGATGTTTTGTTGAACTTTGTTTGAAAAACTGATATGCACCCAGGATGGTAATACCAATGTGTGTTGTGTGTTTCTTCGTCTTCTCTCAATAATAACACTTTTTTTTACCACTGGCATTTTAAATGAAAATTTTATTTGACTTGCCTTATTATATTTGATAAACCTATTTAATCAGATCCTACTCCATTTCGTGTTTTAAATTCCAACCAGAATTGTGATTAACTTATTTACCATCCTTAAGGCTACAGCACTTTTTTTTTTCAATGTCAGTGCCCAGTGCACATCTTGCTAATTGTAGATTATCTATATTTGAAAATTAATCATTTTTTATGGTTGTTACAAAATAAACCGATTGACTCTGTTCTTTGGAAAAGCTCATGATAATGTCAATCAAATCCAAATCAATTAGATAGCAGTAGGGGGGCAGGAAACTCACTCACACTCATGCTTGCTTTCTTTGCCTTCCCTCCTAATTCTTTCTCTCTTAAGAAGTGCAATCTTTGTTTGTGCTTTCAATGAGACAGGGCCTGCATACAAAATAAATAAAAAAATAAACACAACATAAAAAACATACACAAGATAAAGTCATTTTCTTTAGTCACTGGCTCCTATATCAATTTACGACAACTGACAAGAAGTAAACAAACAGGAATTCCTGTTATTCAATCTCTCTTGCACCCCATCCCTCTTGACAAGTGATGTGAACAATATTTCTCATTAACATTCTATGAATAGACAAACATCTCTGCTGTTCTTGACACATCTGTCCTTCAAATTCAATCATGTCTCTTAAGTTGTTGTTGTTGTTATTTCAGTTAGTGGTCTTACTTTTTTAATAAAATGGCTATATGCACACAATTATTATTATTGTTATTATTATTATATGTAAAGGGGGTGGAGTGGTGGGAGGTTACTACGGAACTTAGGCACTATACTTCAAGTTGAGCCCTGCATGTTCCCCTGTAGGAATCAGCATGCACTTAAACTAGAGGTGCAATAAATTGTTTTGGAATTCTGCCACACACTTTCATTGCTGTTATTGATCTTTCCTAAAATGACATTAGTAAATTAGCTTTTGAGTTAAAACTGAAGAGACAGGAGAAAACCAAAAGCTTAAATAGTTATTTGCAGTTACTCAAGCGTGATAGATGTCCCTATGCATTCCATGAGGTATTTTGAGTCTTTCGGGAATTGAAAGCGAAACTGGTGTAATTACAAAGTAATTACATTGTAATTCCACTGAATTACATGACCACTATAATATACAGTGTGGAATGAAAAGAACAACAAATGAAAAATAGATAACTATTTCTTCTCCCTCATATCTATAAGTTTCAATCTATGAATCTAAACCATCAAACTGCACTTATTGTTCATAAGAGGCAACACCAGCAGGAGAAGGAAGTAGTGAGTGGGCCTGAATATTCTTGACTCAACTGCAAGTTAATTAATCCAGCTTCAGCATTCCATCACTCTCCCTGCCCCCTGTCTGTCATTCATGGGCCCTTCTAAGCAGTCATTACCGTGGCATATCGATCCAAGCTGTGACAAGGTAGCCATCCAAAGTGTGTGTGTGTGGGGGGGGTGGTGGATTGGGGTATGGAAAGGGAATGTAAGAGTGGTCAAGGGTGTTCATAGAGCAAATCTATGGAAATTAAGAAAGTTTCCAACTACTAAGAGTTTGATTTTTTTTTTTAAATAAAAATTCTGCATACCTATTCTTTCTCACTTCATCAAACTCACACACTTTCCCCATTCTTTTCTCCATCTTTCTGCACTTCTCCTTCTCTAAACATGAATTAAGATTCAGGTAAATACCTCTGCATTCAATTCACCTGATTGCCTTGCTCCCTCAGTGGCAAGACCTTAATAGATGAATATGAAATCTTCTGAGCCAATATATATGCTGAACAGTTAAGTGGAGAGGAACACTCATCTGTGCCGCCTTGCCTGAGTAATGAATATAGCCCAGAGAAACTTCTTTCTTCTTGTTTCTCCTCTGGTTTCCTTTGCCTGTATTTTTTTTTTCTTATCTATACTACATTGTCAACTTTTACAGTTAAAAAATTTAAATTTTCATTCTTACTGGTACTCAAGTTTCTCTTTATGTAAATGGGTGACTAATTGCTCCAGCATAGTGCTAGAAAGAACAATGAACAATGTGACAGTTTGTCTTCTGAACGTGACAGTCTCCGTCTTAACAGACAAGGGCCACAACACAATGCTGATCATTAGTGAACATGAGCGTGTTGGAAAAATCCAGCCTGCATTATTCATCTGAAGAGAATAGTAAGGAGGCAGGGAACTGCAATGCAGGCATCGGTAGAAAAACAGTAAAACTCTTAAAGGAGTAGTTCACTTCCAGAATACAAATTTCCTGATAATTGACTTACCACCTTGTCATCCAAGATGTTCATGTCTTTCTGTCTTCAGTCGCAAATAAATTAAGGTTTTTGAGGAAAACATTCTAGGACTTTTCTCCATATAATGGTCTTCAATGGGACCCAACGGGCTGAAGGTCAAATTGCAGCTTCAATGCTGCTCTAAATGATCCCAGCCGAGGAATAGGGGTCTTATCTAGTTAAATGATTGGTCATTTCTGAAAATCTATATACTTTTTAAACGCAAATGCTCATCTTGCACTAGCTCTAGCACTAGCTTGATTAAGGCCTCTCACATATACTGCTAGGATGAATTGCTTAATTTTATTCCTCATTTGTAATCACTCATAATTCTCTCATAATTACAACATATACATTCTAAATCATGAGATACTTATTTTTAATTATGTTAAAAAGTTGAAATTTTGAGATAAAAAGGCCTAATTATGACAAAATCTTATATCTTATAATCTTTTATTTATTACCTAGTATCTCATAATATCATGGTTTTATGTCATAATTATGAATTTTTATGTTATAATGATTTTTTTTTTGTAACTTTATTTTGATGGTCCCTTTTGAACATTCTTTTGACAATAAATAATGTTGCACCTACATGTCTACTAACTCACATTAGAGTATTTGAAGACTTTCTGCTTAATATCTGCTACCTCTTTATTGTGATGGTCTCCCAACAGACATTCTACTGACTAGAAGTAACTTTCAACCTGGTCTCATAAAAATACGTACCTCTGGGTACTTTTCTGCAACACCGTTTTCACGTACCTTACTGCAGTTTCAAAGAGAACTGTCCACTGAGTGGCGCTAAAACACGGGTTCAATACGTGAACCCTGGCACATTTTTATTACGCTGATATAGGTACGTATTGCTGTGTTTTTATTACGTTACTTCAGGTATGTATTGCTGCAGTTCAGAATTGCTGTATCGTGTTGGAAATATGCCCTACACCAAACCCAACCCTAAACCTAACCGATAGTGTTAACAAATGCAAAACCGATATAAAACACATTTGTTGATGCAACCGTGCCATCTGAACTTTCTTATATGCAGATCTGAACTGTTTTGTCGAACCGTAGTTACATGGGATTCGAACCAGTGCTCCTCATCTCTCAAGTACATCTGAGCTACCAAACAAACCTACCGTCTATGAAAACCCATAGATATGAAGCTAGATATGTGCGATGCTAACATTCAAAAGCATCCGTTTTAAATCTCCCAGCATATTAAAATTGTTTTGAAGTCATAACATAATATTCTTCAAGTAATTGTGCGAAAATTACTCTTTATTAATCAAAACTCTGTAAATTTGTGTGAAAAGGAATAAAAGGTGTCGGAGTTTTACTGCCTCTAGTGTTAATTTCTTTTGGAAACTGCAGTGATACGTATTTATTGGTATGTATTTCGCGTCTCGCAAAAAAGTGACCCAGGTGCGTTTTTGCCATGAGACCATGTAGGTAACTTTGCAAGTACGTCAACTTATTCTAAACCTAACCCTACCAGTCTACTAATACTCTACTAACACTCTAATGAGAGTTATTAGACATGTAGGTGCAATGCTACTTATAATCAACAGAATGTGTTAAAGGGATATGTCAACAGAATGTGTTTCTTTACTTATTATTT